GGATTAAGAAGGGATAAAATATTCTTGGATAACTACCAGAGAAGGCTAAAGACCTAGGCGAGGTTGGCTCTATAGGTTTGTTAACCTCATTGCCAGACAATTAACATTAATTCTCCCAGGTACTCTGAAATCTAGAAGCCCCAAGGATTTTACTTATCAAAAGGAAATAGTGTAGTTTTGGGGTTCAGAGAGTAGTCTCTGGAGTCCAGTTACCAGCCCACCAATTATTCGCTGTGTGACCTCAGTTTTCTCATCTGCAAGATCAGGATAGTAGTATTTCCTGCCTCACGGGGCTGTGGTGTAGATTAAATGAGTCAATGCATATAAAATGGATAGCACAGTGCCAAGATGGGTGAACAAAGAATATTAGCTATTCTTTATATTCTGAATAAAGTCCACAGAGAACATATAGACCTCTAAAGGGTTCAGAACTGCTTTCGAATTTGGCAGTATAAAATAGACAAGGTAATTTAAACTCAAAGCTGACAATGTATTGACCAAAAGGCTACCTTTGTTTAATAAATCTATGCACCAAAGTTCAGAAGAGTTTATCCTACCTGGCCTTTCAATTGATTAGAGTGCATTTATTTAAGGTATTCCCCTTTTGATCAATAATTGTATAACATGGTGGTATATTATGTGTGAACCCTAATTTCTTAAAGCTTAGGTAGATTACAGATTCAAGACAGGTATGTCAACTTGTTATTCCTTCTAAATTACCTTTAACTGGCTACTTAAGTATATTCATTTTGTATTTTCTTGAAATCATTAAAAAGATTCGCTCTCAGTCTGATCCAAGCAACCATATGTCCGTTGTATGAGCAAAGCACACACACAGCTGATGTTTAAGCTAATGAAAAGAAAAATCCATTACATGCCAGCTTTGAATAGTTCGTTTATGCTATTAGAATGAAAAAGTAGTAGTTTCCAGCTGTACTTCAGAAATTAAATATTTGCTTCTGAAAGATTTTATTTTAATTGGAGCCAATAGTAGTTTATTAGTAAAAAGCCCCAAGAGGAATTTAAATGAAGTCATGTTGAAATACTGAAAAGGCTATTTCCCTTAAAATACCCTAAATCTTTCTCACATTATCTCACATGACAGTGAAACCAGACATTTACATGATCTTATGTTTGTCTTTCTTTTTTTTTCTTTTTTTTTTTTTCCTTCAAGATGTAGATAGGAAGATGATGGAAAAGTTTCATTATTGTAGAGATATAGTAACAGGTTGAAGAAGATGTTGATAGAGTTAAATTATTGTCTGGCACACTTGTTTAGCAGGTGAGAAAAACTCCTTAGCAGGGAAGATTATGAATGACATTTTGTTAACAATGGGACATCATAGGTTTTGAGACCATAAATATGTTGAATGTTCTTATAAGCCCACATAAATATATTTTTAGAGATTCCCAAGTGTGAACAAAACCTAAAACACATTGAAATGCATACCAAACATGATGCATTGTACCTACATTTTTGTGGCTTTTATATATTATATCAGAGGCCTGGTGCATGAAATTTGTGCACTCAGCAGGGTCCCTCAGCCCAGCCTGTACCCTCTCACAGTTCAGGAGCCCTTGGAGGATGTCCATCTACTGGCAGAGGCCCAGGAGCCTAAGCTGGCAGTCAGATATCCTTAGTGCTGTTATGGAGGCAGGAGAGGCACCTGCTGCCACTGCTGTGCTCAACAGCCTGTAGGAGTGCACTGAGCACCAGGGGGAAGCTCCTGCATTGAGCATCTGCCCCCTGGTGGTCAGTGCACATCATAGTGGTCATTTCACCATTCGGTCAGTTTGCATATTTGTCTTTTATTATATAGGATTATATTCATTCATTCATTTATTCATTAAATTACTCCATAGAATTACTTATCTACTATATGCCAGGATAGGCACTGGGATACAAAAAGGAAAAAGACCACTGAGAAAATTGTAAACAGTGTTGTGACATGACTCATTCATAAAACAATTCATCAAGCATCTATTTGTGGCAGATACTGTTGTGCTAATGACAAGTAGGTTTTGTCAATAAGGTTATATTTAAAATGAGTCTAATGGACAAGAACTTAGGCAGGAGGGCTATGGTGAGAACTGAAGTGGAACATAACAGTGGCTAGAGGCGGTTGTCTAGAATTGGCAATGGATTTAAATATATTTATATGGTAGAGGGTATTGCACTTAGTGGACTTTGGAAATAGAGAGGGTGAAGATGAATGGGAGGTCAAAGAAGACATCTTGATTTTTTTTTTCCAGAGATGACTTGACACCAAGATAGAAAATAGCAGCCCTAGTAATAATAATAATAATAATAATAAATAATAAAATATAGAAAATAGTAGAAAAATAGCGTGTGTGTGTTTTTCTTTTCAGGTAAAAAATGTGTTTAGGTAAAATAAACTGGGGGTGTTATGGAAAATTCAGATAGAATTTTTCAATGGACTTTGCTCAGTGGATAGAGTGTTGGCCTGCAAACTAAAGGATCCCTATTTTGATTCCAGTCAAGGGCACATGCCAGGGTTACTGGCTTTATCCCCAGGAGGGGAGGGGTGTTATGGAAAATTCAGATAGAATTTTTCAATGGACAGTTCGATATACAATCCTGAAATTCAGAAAAAAATGATCAAGAAGAGAGATATAGTTTGAGAATCACATTCATATGAATGGGAATTGTGGTGTGAGTGAGCTTCCTCCTTGGCTTTGTATCCCATCCACTGGAAGTAAGACACTGTTCGATGGAATCTCACTATAGAGTAGCATTATCTAGTAGAATTTTTTGTGATGATAGAAATGTTTCATATCTCCACTCTCAAAACAGTAGTCAATCGCTACACGTGTCTATTGAGCATTTAAAATGTGGTATGATTGAGGAACCGAATTTTAAATTTCATTTAACTTTAAGAAATTTAATGTTTAATAACCACATGTGGCCAGGTGCCACTTTTTATTGGACAGAGAGCCTAGAGAATGGACAAAGCGAAGAGCACGTGGGTCATCCTGACGGATATAGTGGCTAAGAAGTAGGGTGTAGCTGACACATTGTAGGAGGTGAAAAAATAGCGGGAACTAAATAATATATGAGTTTCCATGTATATCACCAACATTTACAGATAAAGCATTTCTATCTTTCAGGTTTAGAGTCATTGCTTTTATCTGCTTTTTTTCCCCCTCCATCTTCACATGGCACAGAGATTACCTAAACATAATATAATACTGTATAGTGCTTTAGTGTAGACTCTCCATTCTGGCAGTCTGAGTTCAGTCTCTCTTATGTTATGTGTCAGCAGAATGACCTTGGGCAGGATTATTGAGTTCTCCGTGTCTTTGTCATTCAGCTATTAACCACAGATTAATACTTGGGTTGTTTTTTAAGAATCAATTACAGTGGACAATTAGAAAAGTGACTGAAATGTAGTGTAGAGTTAATGAATGTTTTAAATGAAGATAATTTTTAAATCTTAATCGAAAAGACAATCTGGATTGGCCTTACTGATAGATGCATTCCTACAACCATTCAATGTTATTTTAGCTAGAAACATAATGCATGTAAGATCAGTGATTTTTTTTTTTTGATTTGTTGATAGGGAAAAAAATCTTACCAAAGAAAGTTTACAGTATTTCTATTTTTCCTATGATACATAGTTAGTATATATAATGAAGTTTTTTTCTATTTAGCAACTCAAATAATTTCATTAAATATCTTCATGTTTACAATTTCAGCTGTTATTTATATCAATTCTTTTTGGGTTTTCTTGGGGCTCTTATTGGATAGGATGAGAAATGATAACATGGTTCCAGGCTTGGCTAAAACCAAAAATGATATAAAGGAAAAAAGATAATCTTTAAAAATATTTCCATAAAATTGTTTCTTTTCTCATTGATTCTTTTAACTTTTTGGAAATTTCAAAATGTTTTGTCTCTCTACATTAAAAGAAATAATTACAATTATATTAATCAAATGTTTATTTAAAAATATGATTCTCCATTTCTTGGAAGGTTTAGAAATCAGAAAATATAAACAAGACAATTTTCTTCTCTTATCAATTACAGCAATTCCCGAGTTTGTGACACAAGTGAATGTCGCCTTGGAAGCCCTAAATAAGAACTCTTTGGATGTGTTTGATGACAATCAATTTGTGGACATCTCAAAGAAGATCTATGATACAATTCATGATATCAGATGTTCAGTCATGATGATTCGGGTAAGTTTGCTTTACCTTTCATTGAATTGTCGCAACATTCATTACCAGCTGGAATGCCTGGAATGCTTACAAGAAATGTTTTATTTTGATGCCATAATGTCAATGCTGAAATCCATTAAAAATTGAGAAATTCATATGCATTCCCAAAGTCAGATCTACTGTCACAAACAATACTTTTACTTGTGTATTTGGTTATAACTTATGCAAATGAGCACATTTAACGGCCTTGTGTGCGGAAATGATGGGATTTGTTGTATGCAGAATTTGTTGAACTGTCACATAGCATGATCAGGAGCCAAAGAAAAATACATATAGTCATTTGCTTTCTTGTCTTGAGCAGAAAGGAAAGAATCTTTCTGATCGCTCTAGTGACATTGGTAGGAAAATGTGTTCACAAGAAGTTATTTCTATGGCCAATCCCATTCATACTGGATCAGAGAATCACAATCTTCTGTAATAAACCTTACTTGAAGCTGGGAGTTGTCTCTTTGGGGAAATATGTGCCACCTTCCCAAAGGTATGTTTGCTTCCCAAGGATGAGCCATTGGCTGTGGGCACAGTGCATATACAGAGATCAGGACTATTTGTTTTTACTTAAATGTGAATGTGGATTATTTTCTACATATTATTTAAAAAACAGTGGAAGTTCTTTGGGAAATGTACAGATAATGATAAAGAGATACTTTATGTTAGGATCAGTTTATCTGGAAGCAGACACTGTGGTAAGGATTTGTGTTCACCATTAGTCTATCTAGGAACAAGTGAGACAGGGAAAGTGAGGCTGGAAAGGGAGGAATGCAATAGGTGTCTTTCTGAGTCACTATGGGCAAATGGGGGTTGTTACTGCTGGGGAACTTGGTTGGGGTGTACTACAGACCATGCCTCAGAATTATCTCAAAAATTCAATTTATTCACCTACTTATTTATTGGAGGAAGATTACCTCTCTTTAGAGGTGTCACCAGAGCCTCCCACCTCAGCCAATTAAGCCCTTGTGGCCAAAATACACAACCTTCCAGCAGAGTGGCAGGTGCTTCAGTTAGAGCAGCGGTTCTCAACCTGTGGGTCGTGACCTCTTTAGGGAGTCGAACGACCCTTTCACAGGGGTCGCCTAAGACCATCAGAAAACACATATATAATTACATATTGTTTTTGTGATTAATCACTACGCTTTAATTATGTTCAATTTGTAACAATGAAAATACATCCTGCATATCAGATATTTACATTACGATTCATAACAGTAGCAAAATTAAGTTATAAAGTAGCAACGAAAATAATTTTATGGTTGGGGGTCACCACAACATGAGGAACTGTATTAAAGGGTCATGGCATTAGGAAGGTTGAGAATCACTGAGTTCGATGATTCAGCAAGACCCGCGGGTGAAATTAAGTATGAGTAGAGTTCAGTTTGAAAGCTTCTGGGTTTGACTGTTCTTGAGATTATAAGATGGAACTAGAAGTGCCCCAGAGATATTGGAGGAACATCACTCGGATCCTGTGGGCCTGAATGTTATAGTTATGTTGCACTGAGCCATCCATAAAAATGGAATCATTTGGAGACCTTGTAAGAAAAGGGGTCAACAAAAGTCAAGGTGCTTGAAGGCTGATGCAAGAAATCATAGAGGAAAAACTAGAGACGTCAAGATATAAGATCGCCCTAGCCGGTTCTCAGTGGTTAGAGCATCCACCCATGGACTGGAGGGTTTCAGGTTCGATTATAATTAAGGGCACTTACCTGGGTTGCAGGCTCCATCTGCAGCCCAGGTTAGGGCGTGTGTGGGAGGCAACCAGTTTATGTGTTTCTCTCTGTCTCTCCCCTCCCTTCCAAAAAAAAAAAATGGAGAAAATAGCCTCAGGTGAGGATTAACAAACAAACAAACAATATATAAGATCTAGCTCTTCAGAGCTTGAGAAAACCTGGAAGTAACCTAACTGTACATACAAGGGAGAAACCTCAGGATGTACTATATGTGTGAGCAGCCTGGAAGTATTTGTTCATATGTGACAGAGCCATGTCCCCGTACCAGTGCTGTGTCTGAACTGCAAAGTATTTTTACCAAATACATTCTTCTTCTAACAAAGGATTTTACTTTATCTGTGTGCACTAGTGCACTAACAATAACCCAAAGCTGGAAGGATAGTTGGGAGTAGGATAGGTAGAAACACTGAGAGTATGAAGACACATGAACTTTAAAGAGTCTTAGCACAGTGAAACCCCTACATTTCCAGTGTCCTGGGTGGAGATTTGAGAAGATAAACCAGTGAAGTAGCATAGGTGAACCAGTGTTGGGAATGCACTTTTTTCCTGGGAAAGGGATTTTTAAAAAAAGGTCTTATAATGTCTCCCATTTGGATGTTGCATTATTTAAAAATGCCCTTATTCTCAAAATGCCTCACTTATAGCACATCACATCATTTTGTCATTATTTTTCCATACCCCTCATCTTGAGCATCCTGTAGGGCAGGAAAACAATTTATTGTAATTATTAATAGCCTTAGAGGGCAATCATTTTTTTCATACTCATCTCTTTTTTAAAGTAAATACTTCAATTTATTTTAGCTTTATTCTCATAGGAATAATTTAGTATGTTGTGTTCTTTGCTAGTCCTTACTTAACTTTTCAACAAACTTCTCAAATGAGACTAACAAAAAATATTTCTAATTAGGGCCTGTCCAGGGTTAAATAAAGTAGAAAACTTGTCCTTTATGTTATTGCTATTAATAGAGTCACCTGTTGTGAGCCTATTTTCCCCCTCTTAAAAACCATGATTGTTGGATAGACAATGACTTTAAAAAGGTATATTTATACACTGTTTTGGCTTGTATATTTCTCCTCCATTTTGATTTGATGTGTTTGCTCTTGGTCCTAAATTTTGATCCAGTTAAACTTCATTGTATTTCTAAATGTTTTTTTTAATATGATTTATCATGTTGCTTTTACATTTGGTTGCTGAACATACCTAAATTAGCCTCGGGTAGAAAAATGAGATTATAATTTTAGTTCCTTCATATAGATTACTAATAAAACAAGTATCACATGATCTCACTTACATGTGGAATATAATGAACAAAATTAATTGATGAACAAATTAGATCCAGAGACATGGAAGAATGGAACAGACTGAAGAATCTCAGAGGGAAAGGGGGTTGGGGGGGGGAGGGAATAGATTAACCAAAGAATTTATATGCATATATGCATAATCCATGGACACAGACAATAGTGCAGTAGGCCTGGGGGAAGGGGCAGGTGGGTGGGAAGTGGAGGGGATCAGTGTGGGGAGAAAAGGGGGATATCTGTCATACTTTCAACCAAAAAGATAATTTATAATATATATAAAATATATAACTATCATGGCCCTTCATATGACTATAATCTCTGCTAATAGCTCCAGATAAGGGTATTAGTATTAAGCACCCCTAGAATCTTACGTTCTGTCTAGCTGAGATCATATCAGTAAGCATATGGTTTGAAATAATTTATTCATTTTGAGGTAGAGATATTTTTTCTTCAAACATACTTGAGGGCCAAAATTATGAAATAGATCAATGATGGCGAACCTTTTGAGCTCGGCATGTCAGTATTTTGAAAAGCCCTAACTGAATCTGGTGCCGTGTCACATATAGAAATTTTTTGATATTTGCAACTGTTGTAAAAAAAAAACAGTATGGAGTTTCCTCAAAAAGCTACAAATGGAACTCCCATTTGACCCTGTGATCCCACTCCTAGGAATATATCCCAAGAAACCAGAAACACCAATCAGAAAGGATATATGCACCCCTATGTTCATAGCAGCACAATTCACCATAGCTAAGATCTGGAAACAGCCTAAGTGTCGAGCAGTAGATGAATGGATTAGAAAACTTAAGAGATCAACCAAAGGACTTGTATGCATGCATATAAGCCTAACCAATGGACATAAGACACTGGGGAATAGGGGAGGCTAGGGGACTGTCTAGGGCGGGGAAAAAAATGGACACATATGTAATACCCTTTGTAATAAAAAATAAAATTTGAAAAAAAAAGACTTTTATATTTATTTTATATAATTAAATGACATTTAACAAAGAAAAATCAACCAAAAAAATGAGTTTGCGTGTCACCTCTGACATGCATGTCATAGGTTCGCCATCACTGAAACAGATAGTACTTGAAGCCATGAAGATAGTCCAGAGGCCCATCTTCTCTGTCCCTGCATTGCCCCTCCTTGAGGCAGCCTCTTGGGATCCTCAACAGAACTGCTACAGGGATTCCTTGGAGGATGAGCCGCACAGCTCTATTCTTGCTAATTGGACTAGAGGTTGAGAAGAGAAGTCTAACTGAGGTGCACAATTAATAAAAATCACTTTTTTCCCCCTTTGAGGACTGTCCTTTTGTCATAGATACAATTGATCTGGTATAACCATCTCTTTATAAGGTCAGATTTAATGCTGACCAATATCCTGTTAAAAATGCAATGCATGAGAGGAGTAAATCTAAAAAGTGCCAACACTAGGAGAAGACATTTATAATTATGCAAGTTTGGGAAGGGATAGGCTATGATCTTGAGGATGTTTGTGAGTATTGCAAAATCCTATCTTGTCTCGGAATTTTCATGCATGCTCTTCAGTGCCCTTGAGACAATAAAGTAATAACCTAAGTTCAGAGCCTGATATTTTATAAGCTGTGTAATAAAATTCTGATTATATCTGCCTTTAATATTTATTTTGTTGAATAATTATTTTACAAATTTTTGGATTATTTTTAAAAGATTTAAGATAAATACTGTGACATTTTTTATTACTAATCTCTACACTATTTTAGCTTGTGGAAAAAGAAGTTGTAGGGTAGGAAATATTAAATTTTTTTTCTATTTGGTGTTTCAAATCTATAAATAAATGTTATAGTTATTAGGAGCCCATACATATATATAAAAGCCTAAGTGACCAAACAACTGAATGACCGGTTGCTATGACATGCACTGACCACCAGGGGACAGACTCTTAATGCAGGAACTGCCCC